CCCCCCCCCCCCAAAAAAAAAGCACTCGTTTTGCATGCAACACGAGCTAGCAAGAGCCAAAATTGCCGCGCAACCCATGAACTTGAAAATTAAACCCTTATACAACATCAACCTGTAGACCTCAAACCAACAAGCCACTGGATATTTCTATCATGAACTCCTAAATCCAAACCCCGACATCCTCAACCCTACACCCCGAACCCATGAACTCCTAAACCCATAAACTCCCAAACCCCTACATCCTCCACCCTACAGCCTGAGCCCCTAAACTCCTAAACATCGGCATCCTCAACCCTCAAAACCTTAACTCCTGAAGACCCTAAACCCTAGACCCTAAACCCCCAACCGGCCGGCTCGTGCATGGGAAAGGTTGCCAGCGACTCCATCTCATACATCATCTCCATAGCCTCCACAATTTAGGGTTTAGGGATTTAGGGATTTAGGGGTTAGGGATTAGGGTTTAGGGATTAGGGTTTAGGGAGTAGGGTTTAGGGATTAGAGTTTAGGGAGTAGGGATTAAGGTTTAGAGTCATCTCCATGGCCGTTGCTGTTCATGAACTGAAAGTAAGTCACCATAATGTGGGTATATAGTAAATAATCAGGTTTCCTCATTATAGCAACTCACTGTAAGTTCCTGGACAGCAACCAAGCGTTTAGGGATTAGGGAATCAGGGTTTAGGGTTTAGTCCATGGCCTCCACTCAAAGGCGATAAAGCTCAACACTGGGATTTGAGGAAGCGAGTGACTTAGGGAGTTAGGGATTTTACGGGTTTAGTGTGTAGCGGTTTAGGGATTTGGTATTTTGGAGATTTAAGGCTCATGCTTGCAGCAAGTGAGCCCCAGTGTTCTGCAATGATAGCAACAGGCTGGCGCACTTGCGTAAAGTTCTACCCCGGACACGGGACCCTAAGGGGGGGGGGGCGGGGCATGCATCCAAGCAACTGATTCAAACGGAGATGCGCAGCAACACTTCTAGCCATGCCTATCGTACTAGTATCAGTGACCTGAAGAAACTTCCTGAAAACCATAGTAGCAACGCTACAGAAACTCCATGACCTGCCGGGAAGCTCAACTGTACACAGCAAAAAATCATTGCTACAGCTATGGATGATGGGCTTAACATCATAAACATTTAGAAGTATCGCACCTTAATCCCAGCAGAATCCGTATTAAGGACCCCCGCAGTCCTCACCCCTTGATCCCTCGAGGGTGCCTCGGGCCCCTACTTCTCAGAAACTCCCATGTATTACTACTACTACGGCCTCCACATCGCGGCTCTGCTTCATGCGTACCTGGAAGAATATAGCAGCTTCTCACTCAAAAAAATCCCTATCCAAAGGGTCCCTGCACACAGGACCCAAAGATTTGCAGGGACATACAACTCGCAGAAATACTTGAAGGTCTCGATGGCCTCTAGGGAGTGCCTCCCTTTAGATACAAGCCCCCCACAACCCCCTCTAAAAAAGCTACTAATGAAAAGCCCTTCTTTGTGAATCCCTACAGAAGTTATCTTTCAGGAGATCTAGTGACCTGGTGTATAAATCCACGTCCACGTGACGCTTCTGCTGCGAACGCTAAGTAAGCGCCGAGTGTTGCTTTAAAATTCATATGGGGTTCCGAATTACCTGCAGCACTTGCACTGACCGCAACTATGGCCAACAGTTTTGGCTGCTCTTAATGTTTTTCCTCTTATGACTTTGAAACCTTTGAATTCTGCTCCCGACAGTCTTGAAGCGACTACCATGAAGCAAGTCCAAAACCCCAGGCCTTAGACAAGTAATTGTCAAGCAAGTAGTAGCAAAAGCAAGTATAGTCGTAATCGTGAAAGCAGTACTCGTCGTCGTCGTCGTCGTCGTCGTCGTCGTCGTCGTCCTCGTCCTCGTCCTCGTCCTCGTCCTCGTCGTCGTCCTCGTCCTCGTCCTCGTCCTCGTC